CCCTGGCACACAAAGAGAAATTTCCCCAGCGTGGGTGTGCACAGAGCCAGCTGGGCCACTGGTGGTGGCCTGTGGTGGCCTGGGGCACGGGCTGGATTTGAGGCCTCTGGTTCAGTGCAGGGGAAGCCCCAGAGCAGGGTGAGCCCCTGCAGTTGTTCAGGGCCAGCCGTAGTGCAGCAGTGAGCCCCTATTCAGTGCCAGCAGGCAAGGCTTCACCGTGACCTTGTCACCATGACCTTGCATCCCAGCACTCGTCATTGATACTTCAAGGATTCGTGCTCATGTTCTGGAAAAAGGCAACATTTTTCCATTTCCCTTACTGGTAACAGAGGCAGCCAGAGGAGAAAGTGTTCTGTGCTGCTAAAGCTATGTTCTGTGTTGTTGGAGCTTCATTCAGTTTCCCACTTGTTGCTGCTATATATTCATATATCTCCCTCTATTAATGACCTCACCTCACACTCCTTTCTTTCAGCAGTAGTCAGTGAAAGTCAATAAGAGTTGCCCATAGGATACGATTACATATAATAATGACATACACGTACTGAATGGCACAGTTGGCACTTACTGCACAGCCCTAGTAGCGTATAAGTGTCTGCAGAGCTAGGGGACGTTTGTATCTCCCCAGTCTCTCCGGGGCAGTATAGCTGACCCTGCCTGCCCTGCCCACATGCTGAGGTTTGCCTCCTGGATCTGTTTCTGTGCACTGTCCAGCTGACAGGCTTTTTGCTGGCTCAACCAGATTCCTTTCCAAGTGCATTGGAAAGCCTCAGCTTGACCTAAGATAACAGTTTTCTCGGGCAGTGCCATCCTTATTCTCTTTGCAGAAGGCTTTGCTGCTGGGTGAAGGACTTCCAGCTTCCCAGCAGGCTCTAATCTGGGTTTCCACTTTATTTGCAGGCTGCTCACTCGGACTCCAAGTCTTCCTGCAATTCAGTGATCTGAGAATCCAGGTCACTGTTTCCGTCAGAGCCGCTTCCTCCTCCACCTCCCCAGAGCTGCTCGTGGCTCTTCCTTCCTGGGCAGACCTCTGTGCTCCTCAGGCTGCGCCAGCAGATGCAGTACCACCCTCCTGTCCTGTACACCCCAGCGCCCTGAATGACAGACAACAATCATGACCTGAGGTTCACTGCACAGTTCCTGCCAGCAGTTGTTCCTTGCTGCCCGCAGTCTGTGGGGCAGCCTTGCCCACGGTTCCCTGGCCCCTCAGCTCACTGGGGCCAGGAGCTGCCTTGGGGGTGGGATTAGGGGGGGACACATGGCTGTGCTCACACGGCTGTGACAGCCCTTCCTGGTGCACCCTTCCTGCAGTTTGGGCGATGCCTGCTGGGTGTTCTGCTGGTCCTGACACACCTTCCTCGGGGTCACTGCTCCTCACCCCATGATACCTTCCAAGCATTTCCAGTCCTCTCATTATAGACCATGCAACGCGTTTCTTCCACAGCAGAGCAGCATCCCCCCACAGCATCTGTACTCCAGCATGCGCAAACTCCACTGGGGCAGCTGCTGTGTATTATGGATGAGCCTTCACATTCTTAAATCTCCCTGCATTTATAAAGAAAGAAAGAACCTTACTTCTTGCAGTTCATCTCTTGATGACTGCACGGTAAGAGGTGACTCTAGAGTAGCCTGCTCCACACCCCTATGCATGCTGAGCTTCCCATTAATAATTACTTGGTCTGTCAGCTTTTTTTTTTTTAACCTACAGGATATTTTGGTGTCTTTCTTACTTCTCTCTGGTTTTAATGTGATAGCACATACAGTCTGTGCTGTGAACAAGTGAAATAGCATGTTCAAACTTCGATAGAAACCACTGACAGGCTCTATATTTTATGAATCAAAGGCATCTATAATTCAGCAGGAGACTTTCAAAGTGCATACATACGTACATAGGTTCTCCTTTTTCTTTGATTTAATATTTTGCCTGCTTCTCAGAGAAAGTAGTGGCTCATCACCTACCTGAACCATCATCACTTTTAAAGAACTGGAAACCTGGAAATATTTGCATTTCTGTTTCATTTTTTTTTTTAATTCTACTTACTTGTTTTTCAAGTGACATGCCAAGGAGCCTGTTTTTTTTTTATTATTATTATTTTTTTTTGTCTATTCTTTAATGAGTCCTGTACATCTCTCCCCTGCTCCTGCTGTGTTATACAAATCCTCTCAGTAATGCTTAGAGCCCAAATCTCTCTCTGGATAGCCCCCAGTCACTGTAAAACAGGTCTAGCTTCTGTTCTTCAATCACATTAAAGGCATTTGACCCTTCTTACAGATGTAAATAACTGCACAGAGCTAGCTGTCCTAGGCTTTTCCCTAGGATTTGTCTACTAAAGATTTGCAGCAGTGAACCTGAAAATAACCACCCCACACTAGACCTGATTCCCTGGGATTTACAGGTGATTCCTATTAGCCTCTCCTTCCCTCTTGCAGAAGAGTACATTTCTGCTTGGTCACTTTCTGCATTAATTTTTTAGTATACTGGAAAATTTCATTATAGGAGATCAGGAATCTTCTGTGCCTGCTCCAGCTGGACATCTCAGTAGATCCAAACAAAGTAGTTCCCAGAGGCGAAGCCCAAGAACAACAGGGCAAAGGTAAAACAAACAAACAAACACAACTGACATCCATAAAGCAAACCACACTCGTAAATGGACCATCTCACTGAGATAACAAGAACTTGTTCTTGCTCCTGTCACCAACCCTGTTTTACTCCTTTCCACAGCAGCCTGGTCCCTGAGCCAGGTCAGCCCTGGTGATCCTTGCTTCCCTGCTGACTGCCCGAGGTGTTCCTGGGCACCCTGCGCTGCACCACCAGCAAATCCAGTGCATGGGGTGAGGGCTAGGGCCAACACAGCAGTATAGGGCTAAACATCTCCTGGACTACATTCACAGTGCAGTGAATTACCCCTTTGGGGTAATGCTGGTGGCTTTGCACCCTGTCTGGCAGCCAGCTGGCTTCCAGGAGCTGCAGTCCTCACACTGTGGCAATTTCCAGGTTCTGCCTCAGTCTGGAAGAGCTGACCAGGAAAGCAATCCCTCTGTGCCCAGCCCTCTCCTCCTGGCAAGCTCAGCATGCGGCACCAGCGCTCAGCACCCAGACTCAGTGACTGAGCCAGGCAAGCGCTGCAGGAAACAGGACCTGAAAGAAAACACAAGATTTCATTTTGTGGTCAAGGACATGTGCTTATCTCCACAGTGCCTGCAGAGCACTGGTCCATCTTTTTTTCTTCCAAGGGAAAAAAAAAAATCAAGAAAAACTTTGCTCTTGCTTTTACAATCAGCAAGATAAAAAGAACAATCCACAATAACAGCACAGTGCAGAGCTACTGTAAGAACTGCTGATGTAGGGCTGCTTTTCAGCCAAATGGTTTAAAGAGTCACTCTCCCTGATACTGCCAGTTCTGTATGGCTGTCCTGGGCAGCACACCCATCTGCCATTAGCCATCATCCTATGGGTACCTATTTTTTCCATTTTGGCCAGCTGCAAACCTGAGTGAAAATAACATTTCTCCCAGCTGAAACACTCTCGCTGTTTTGTGCAGAGCTGCTGGGTCGAGCACAGGAGCTGTAACCTTGAGCAGCCTGATAGGGCAACAGGCTCCCTGTGCTGGCCCTTGTCACTTGGGCTGTGCCTGGAGTCCCCCCAGCAGCCCCTGTGGGATGCCCCCAGCCCGTCCCCATGGGAGGGACACCTTCCATTCCCAGCCTGGTGCCGGGCAGCTGGTTAGGTTTAGGGCACTGACTGCCAGCCACAGGTGCCAGGGCTGTGTAATTGCAGCTCGCTGAGGAAGCTGCCCTAGCATTAACATCAGAGATGGCTATTCTTAAAAAAAAAAAAAAAAAAAAAAAAAGATGTGGGTCCCCAGTGCTAAGGAATATTTGTGTCACTGCTACCTCTTTCTCCCCTGCTCCCCCCTCCCCCCCCAAAAAAAAAAAGAAAAAAAAAAAAAAGAAAGGAAAAAGAAAGACAATGGGAATACCCAGCTGTGCTACAACGTGGGCAATGCCCCCAGTGCCTCAGAGCCAGGGTGACCATTACAAACCGGGAGACATCGCAGCTGCCCCACAGACCTTCCTGAGGAAGCTGCTGCGGTCTGAATCCTGACATCAGGCACCCAAACGAGCAGTTAGGCGCAGCGCTGTCTCTATATCTGTAGCTCGGGGTGTGTAATTACTCGGCCCTGACCGTCCTGCAGGAGCCAAGTGAGGACGGCCACGGCAAGCTCCTTGCGGCTCCATCCTCGTGGCGTGATGTGGGCAGGTGACCCTAGGGAGCTCCAGCTCCCCCAGGGAATGCCTGGAGAGCAGCCTCTGCTCCACAGCTGAATAAAGCACAGCAGGGACCAGACAGCGATGCTCTGGGGCGAGGGTGAGCTAGAGAGGTGCCCGTGGGGTTGCTGTGGGTGTCTGTGAGCCACCTGTGGAGCAGCAGCAATCACACCCAGCTGAGTGCAAGGCTTTGTTTGTGGCACCAGCCCTGGGCACTGAGATAACCCCCTCTGACACAGCAGAAACACCTCTCCTCCCCTCGCCAACACCTCCTCCAGGTCTCTTGTAGAACACACTCCCTGTTCAGAGCCAGCACCCCTTCTTGTCCTCAATAACTCACAGGTGTTCCTTCAAATCCATCATCTTGTATTTCTCCTCGTGCTCAGCTGGATGAGGGGATGCGTGGATGATGACCTGAGCATCGCAGACCTGCCTCCCTGCTGGTACCTGCCCCTCAAGGTCCCTCGCTCTGCTCTGAATCTACCAGCAGCCTCGAGAGGTGCCAGAAAAACGATGCTTGACAATCAGATGCTTTCCTCCCAACTCTTTTCCAGTTTCTTTGACCCCCTTTCTGTTTTCAGGTTCACATGTGCTGAAGTAATTTGCAGTGGTGTCTAGCTTTTGCATTGCCACTGACTCCATTAGCTCATGGATTTCTTTTCCCCTAGAGTTCTTGCAGCTGCTGATGTCTTGCCAGTTAATTTCTCATATATTTCCTTTCAAATCTGAATTGAATTAGTGAGCATTCGTAATGAGGCACAGTAGGAGGAAACAAAAAAGCAGATAAAAGCTGACACAGACCAGATGCCTCTCTCAGCTGCTGCAGCACCAATAGAAAGTGTGGGTAAATGTCAGGTGAATGAGAGAAACCAGGACATAGCCAAACAGCTTGCCAGAATTTGATCATAGGCTACTTACATAGGGGCTTTGAAAATTTCCTGCCCTCAGGATATTAACATTTCTCTGAGCTTTCCAAGTATCCTGCAGCTCAAGGAAGACGTTGAGAAGGAGCTCATTTGCATTACAAAAATACTGGGCAGTGTGGGAAACACTGGCTGAAGGAAGACCAACAGAAAATACCACCCTCAGGGAGCACAGCACACGAACAACAAATGACTAAGAAAATCCTGCCTCCCATCACCTCTTCACCAGGATGTTCTGCCCACCCTTGAGACTTCTTGTTCTCAGGTATGGATGATAACAAAGCTGTGTGTCTGCACAGCAGCACACACGCGTGAAGCAAAGCGTTCAATGTCTAGGAGACATTACCTCTCCCTGTGAAAAGCACCACGAGTGTAGACCTATATAATGCTTGGTGTCTAGCTGCTGTGAAACCATTTGAGCAGGGTGCTGCTCCCAGGCCAGTGCCCTATACCTGTCACTTTGGCTTCCCAATTTAACCTGCATCAACACAGCTGGTCCCACAGCATTTCAGTGCTTTCCCCTGTGAACAGCTCCGCTTGCACCATGTCAGCTTCTAGGCTGAGGTGAAGGGGATGTGCACTTTTATAACAACTATCTCTCTTTCTTTCCCTCTTTTCTTTTTCTTTGAATCTTTGTTAAAGTGACATTAAATTATCTTGGAAGAACTGGGGGATATCTTTCTGATGACAGGAAATGGGCCTAAAAGATTTGTTCACAGCATTTTTGTTTAAGTGTTTATTTTTCAACTTCTCAAATTTCCAATCCCCCTTGATGAGCAGAGCCTGCAGTTAAAGGCTTGTTGAAGAAGTGGGAATGCAAAATTTTTAACATAAGTGGTTTTCTCACTTCTATTTGCCAGATATTTTATTAAGTGTTAGGCAAATAAGCAAATTAAACCTCCCACTGGTTTTATTATAAATAGATCAGACACTTCAAGCCCTCCAGTTATTTGCAATTTGTTTCACAAAAAAATAAGCTGTTTTTCAATCCTAATGTTCTTCCTGAATAGTAAAGGAGGAGGAAGGTACAGCTCTTCATTCCTCATTTGTAGTTTGCTTTTTAGATCCACTTTCTTCCTTCTATGTGAGCCACTTCTGCCAGCTGACAGAGACTTTTCCCACTCTGTGCTTGAAGGGGGGCTTCTTGAGATGTCCCCAGCATTTTTGGAGAACCTGTCTGCCTGGCCAGCCCCTCTTCTGGCAGCCACCTGTGTTCCTGGTCCCTCTATGTTGCATTTTATCCCCATGCTATCCCCAAACTCATCTGAGCCCAGTTTCCTACAAGCTCTGTGTCCCACGAGCTTTGCAGGAGGCTTTCCTTTCCAGAGGGATGATGGTGCTTTCAATCCCCTTTGCCCGCAGGCTCTCTCTTAGTCCCCCAGGGAGATAAAAGGAAGCAACTGTTTATTAACAGAGCATCCAAATGTGAAAGAGCTGCAGAAAGCAAATTGGACTGAGGCATTCCCTGCATGAGTTGTGATAATCCTGCCTAGAAGACTGTTTTTGAAGAACGAAGCCAAAAGCAGCAAAAAGTTCCACGTAGCCAAGCACTGGGAAACATTCAGAGAAATACAGCGTTTCCACGTCAGATTCAGTAACTGCTCCTTTTTTTGTGTAATCAGCCTGTGACCCCAGGAAGCTAGGCACAAGCATTAAGGTGATTTAATCTAGGGCTGCTTTTCTGCATGTTCTGCTCTGGGGAGGCCTTTGAGTTACTGCTTACATACCTGACTTGCATTAATCTTCTCCAGCTAGGTAAGGCCCTTCCTTTGCTTCTAATAGCTGCACAGGCCTCTCTTTCCCCCTCTCCAGGGGCAGTACCTTGGCCCCCAGAGCAGCCAGGGAGGTCAGTGTGCCCCTGGGCCCTGTGAGGCACCCGTGAGCCACCCATGCCCACAGGTGGGTGGCAGAAGGCACTGGGTATCGAAAGAGACAGAAATAAAGTTTGGGAGAGGAAGTTCAAAAATAGCTGACCTTTTCCTGTAAGTCTGTTTTTTTGTTTCATTTGTTGTTTTTGTTTTAGATGCTTTTTTTCCCTTCCACAGCAGGAGAAGCAGGAAAGGAAGAGGCTTTGGGAAACAGGTGAGGGAATAAAAGGTCTTTTAAAGCAAATAGAGGTGGAAAAGAGAATGCTTTTCTGAGGAATGACAGCAAGGACAAGAGCTTCCCCTAGATAGCTATCAGACTTCAATTATAAAGAAAGAAAGAACAGAAACCAAGAACTGCAGGAAAACCTCCTTCCTCTTCCCCAAAAGATGGGCAATGTGGCCCTGTGCACAGCTGGGGCAGGGCTGCACCATCCCCATGGCCACACAGAGCCACCAGGGGTCAGCTAGACAAACCACCACAGCACGTGTGCCAGCGGTCACGTTGGAGGTGGTAAAGGAGCAGAGATCATCGTTAGGCCAGGGATGGAACTGCATTTCCTACCATGGATTAATTAACATCTGGTGTACATGTAGCTACCACCTCAATCAAATGTGTCTGTTACACGTGGACCATGTTCCACCCATGGGGCCTAGCACAACCCTCTCCTGGGGACAGGAGCAGCAGCCAGCATCACACTGAGTGTGTTCCCAGGAAGTTCACTAGTGACGGGGGGAGGGAGGCCTCTCCCGCAACCCCCAGCCACATCTTCACTGAGTTCTGCTCTTGTCACCTCAGAGAGGGTCATGATACAGAGGGTCATGATACATCTCTGCTCTGTGCCGTACAAGGCAGCGCTGTGCGAGGGCCAATGCCTCCGGACCCCATTACCACAGTGTGCTCGCCCCTCAGCCCCATGTCCCACCCTGACACGGTGCTGCTCGGTGTGTCCCCGCTTCCCCTGGCCTCCGCAGTGCCTGCTGCCCCTCACTGACACTGCAAGCGGCCTGCACCCTGTGGTCTCACCTCTCCTTTCCATGGCCATAAATGGAAAAGCAAAATGTTTGAAATCGAATGCTTTGAAGTTTTGCAGAATAAACAAACTTCTTCATGTGGACTGCAATGGGGAAAAAATTCATAGAATGCTCCATAAGGCATAATAAATCTGGCATATATTGCATTATCTGTGCACCCGTGGCAAATAATACATTAAAGACCTGAAAACAAAGTGCTCAGGGACACCGTGTTACTAAAGAGCAGAGAGTCAGCCTCGCTATCTTGGAAGGCAACCAAAGCACCCAAGGCACACATAAAGATGGGATCAAAACCCAGCGAGGGAGCTGTGGGGCTGGTAGAAGCCCGGCAATTTAAAGGCTCCTATAACTGAAAGGATTTCTTATATAATGACAGAGGGTTTAACGCCAGATGCATTTGGAGGCCTGAAGCAACTTTAAACACGTACTTACAGAGTGATAAGAGTCTTCTATGCTGTAGAGAAAAAGAGTGTGAAAAATGGAAATATATTTGGGATGGAGGCAGCTTGGGGCCATTTGTCTGCACTCTGTCTGAATTCCTTGCTGGCCTGGTTTCTACATCATCATTATCACAGATCCCCAACAGCTGAGTGATCTCTAATAGAATAATGTTAAGGCAGTCAATGTGTAAGGAAAACATGCTCACACATTAGGCAGCTTTCTCAGGCATAACTTCTTCTAAACAAGTACTGTACAAAAATGGATGGATTTTGATAGAATTTCTAGTCTCTCTATAAGACTTTCTCAGAAAGCTGATTAAATGAGATTTAGATGAAGTTAAGGCTTTACTCTGCTGTTGTCAAGGGAAAACATCCACACACGTTATTAATGAGCAACTCAGGGGTGGGGGGACATTGCTCACTTTTGTCTGGGCAGTGTCTCAGCCCATACCAAAATCCTGGCCCATTTTTAAACTGGCTTGTGCTTTACAGAGGGTTACACCCAGCCACTGGAAGCAAACATCCTTCAACACCCAGGGATGGGGGTATCTGACTGTGAGCAGTTTGGGCATGGCTCTTCTCACTTAATGGCCGCTTGGCCTCTTGGCCTCCTTTTGACATAGCCTTCTGCACCCTTATAAATGGGGACTTGTCAAGCCTACCTCATGGGAATCGGGGCTGTGAAATTGGGGAAAAACAAAACAAAACAAAACAAAAAATCCTTCAGTAAATGCTGTTTTGTGTTTTTTTTTGTTGTTGTTGTTGTTGTTTGTTTGTTTGTTTGTTTTTGGTTTTGTTTTTTTTTTTTTTCATACATGAAAGCCCAAGGTTTCCTAAAGGCAAAGCAGGTGCTGGCAGATCCTGGCCCCATCCCATGGCCTTGCCCAGGCCCCAGCCCTTTGTGCTGGCTCCCTGTGGGCTGAGGAGCAGAAGAAAAGGCAGCTGTGCCTACGTCCTGCTGCCTGCACTACCATGGCAATGCAGATGCTTCCTCCATCTTCCTGCTCCCTGCCAAGGGACGGCTCTAGGCCCTGTGGTGTCAATGTGAGCCCAGGAGGAGCCCAAGTCCCAGCAAAACCCCTCCTCGCAGCCTGGGCCACAGCTCTCTCTTCAATGATTGCCAAAACCGAAGTTTTCCTGCAAAGCCTTGGCCTTGCTGCTACCACCCAGCTCACATAAATGCCATCTCAGCCCCGAGGGCTCAGGTACCCTTGTGGGTATTGTCATGCCCCACAGGGAGCAGCAGCCCGTGCCTCATCACCTCGCTCTTTTCACCTCAGAGGCCTGATGAGCCTGGAGTTGTCCTTTCTGATCCCTTCCACAGGTTTCCCACTACAGATCTTTTATTTTGGGAGATCTGTGGCAAACCTCCACTGATACAAGCTCCAGCTGAAGCACCAGCTGCGCACCCACCAAGCCCCAGCCTCACTTGCCTGAAGAAAAGACCCGCGAGCGCTCTCAGAGAGAGTGCTCGTGGCTCCCACAGCACTGGAGGGGTTGCGCAGCCCCAAACGGCACGGCTCCTGTGGCAGAGCCGGCTGGGCGAGCCCTTGTGTGGCTGGTTCCTGCGGTTGGGTGCAGTCAGCAGAATGGAAGTGGCTCCTCTCAGCTTTCACAACTCCTGCAGAAATAGTCACTGGCCTAGGCAAGGCAAGGGCTTGGCTCCTCTGGCAGCCCATCAGGCTGCTTGCAAAGAGACCCCAGCAGGGCTGCGGGCGCAGGAGGAGCTGGCGCCAGCCAGCCCAGCCCTGAACCAGCGGGACTGCTTGGTTGCTCTTCCACTGGGCAAGTGCCAGGCTTTACAGAGCCTGGCCCAGAAAGTCAAATTTCTCTTTGAAGGTGTGAAACCAATGGCCAGGTCCTTGGCTTGGTTGAAGCTCTTCATCTCATTGAAGCAACTCTGGTAAAAATCCCACCAAAGGCTCACTGTGCTTTAAAGGAGCAGCGTAGCCACCAGCTGGGAGCACAGATGTGATGTTATTTATTTACCACATCTTACCCCATGCAGAGTGCAAGTTTTGACATGCTAGTGGTGACAGTGAGAATGATCAGTGTTCCCAAAATGTCATTGGTTGCACACTGAGTCTGTGTAGTGAGGATATTTAAAGAAAATAATAAATTCTGTCCCACTGAGCCTGGCAGTCCCCTCCTGCTCAGCATGCCTAGTGCAGCCAAGAGGGCAAAGAAACTGGCTCACTGTTGGCATCACCTTCAGACAGAGGATGGCACAGGGGAAATGGGGTTGAAGAGCTCACCAGCAGTGATCCTGCCTGCTTTCACTCCTGGCACTTCAGCTTTCCGAAGTTACTCTTTGCCGAGAGGATTACTTTGCACTTTGGTTTGGTTTGCAACTTGTTCTGGAGTTGTAAAAATCCCATTTAGCTTCTAGCTGTAGCCGTCAACTTGTTCTGAAGGGTAACCTTGCTACCATGCTGAAGCTCTGTGCTCATTTAACTACTTTCTTCTCTCTGCTCATAGTAAGGAAACAGGATGTCACAGCTTTGCCAAAATATTTTCCTAAATAAATAGAACTGCAGGCAGTCTCCACAAGCCAATCTAGCAGTACCATATGACCCCAACTGGCAAAAGACAGGGGTTACATTTAAATTCAATTTTAATGCAGCAAAATATCAACACTTATTTACCACACTCCATAAATCTAATGTGACAAAATACCTCTGACAGATTAGTATCCCTCTTACTCCAGAAATGTAAAAGCACAACAAATCAAGTCAGTACATGTTCTGCAGTATCACACAAGGCTGGCAGCAACACACATTAGCAAGTGATTCCTCACTGCAGTCGCCGCGTGCTCTGTGGCTATCAGTGCATCTGGCTGTCACAAATTCCCTTGCAACCTGTGCTCCTGAGGGACCTGCCAATTGTCCGAAGCAGATAAGGGTCCACCTGTGTCATATGCCAGCCATGGCAGCACTGTAAAGGCACACAGACAAGCAACAAGCCCACCCACATCCCAATGGCTTTGAAGGAAGCACTATCTTGCCCTGTCCTTTCCCAACACCCATTCCTGTGTCACTTTGCCACATCAAGGGTGCTGCTGGATGTGCCACGCAGACACCTCACTTTAGGTGCAGCTTCATGAGCCTTCGCAGCAGATGAGAGGAGGGGCTGATAAAATCATGCTTGACAGCAGAAAGGCTCATGCTTGCCTGCAGTGTAGGTGTTTTAACTCCACGCCCTGGGATTACGCATCTTGCCAGCACTGCCCATGGTAATACCTGCAAATTTTGCCCTGGCCAAGAGCCACCAAACCCCACATGATGGTAGTGCTCCTTGAGGTTACTGCATTTGTTTTCTCACAGGAAGTACCTCTGGGTACATCCAGGCCCTCATGGGCCCAGTGCAGGAGGCCATGCTCTTAAAGGCAGTCACCTGCCAACAGCCCACGTGTGAGGACCCATCACGGCCCTACAAACCATCATGAGTAGCATCACAGTTTACTAGACAGAGCCAAAGCAGTCGGCCACAGCCCAGTCACAAGACAGCCTATTTAGCATCGAGACAGTGATAAAAACAACTTCTCTGCCAGCACAAGCTCCTTCAAACGCATGCCTGGAGCCAGAGGACTGGAGCAAGGTCCTCACAATGGTCTGGGATTCCTTATGTGGAAGCTCTGGGCCTGTTGCCGCCCACTGCACGTCTGCCAAACCTCATGTCCGCCTGTAGCACGTCAGCCCTCTCTCATCCCAGTGGGGACAGGGCAGGTCCAGCTTGGACTAGCCTGCCAGGTCCTCTGCTACAGAGGGCAGGACGTGCGATGGGAAACCGGGAGCAGAGCCTGGAGCACATGGGCGCCAGTGTGTGGAGGGCCTGCAGGGACCTGCCACGCTGAGCCGCCCTGATGGTGGGACACTGCCTGCCCTGGTACTGCCGTAGCTGGGAGAGGAGGAGGAGGCCGAGGGCTCATCCGGCTGAGGCCTGGTCCTGCCTCCATGCTCCTGTGGTGGCCCTGGCCTTCGCCTGAGGATCACTGCTCCCACCTGCCCGCCATTCACAGGGAAGGAGGTGGCTGGGGGAAGACCTGCACCCTTGGCAGGAGGGGCGTTTTGGAGGCAATCACAAGAGAGAAAAAAAAAAAAAAAGAGAGAGAGAGAAAAAAACCACCTTTTTCTTCTTCACCTGGCTCTTCAGGACTTCATGTACATTCCAAATGAGAAAAGAGGACAGACGTGTGATTTCCTTACCGTGGCCTTCACTATTGAATGCAATACCTAAAAACAAAGCATCCATCACAGCTATTGAATTCCCAGTAGCTATTTGGCACGCAATGAAGGACAGCCTGGCATTCATGTTGCTGTTCACTGTTAAGTAGGCAACCCTGCGAGTCCCTCAGGTCCCACTTCCCAGGACATGTCCTAACCAAACTGAAAGATGAGGTTTGTCAGAGCTCAGCTTGCTCAGGCTGTGAGCTTGTCCTACAACCACAGTGCTAAATAAACACGCCAGGACCCTGCAATGGTT